TGGGCACTTTTTTACAGTAATTCTTTAGGCACCTATTTTAATACATTTGCATTTATAACAACATTAACATAGCATATTAAAAAAAAAACAAGCAATTAATTGTATAGATTCTGAAATCACCCTGTATCACCCGGTATATTAATAATTTATACCAAAGGGCTGTAACATATTTAAAATTCAATAAAATTTATCATTTTATTACTGTTTTGCCTTCTCTTTGAAATTCAAAGTAATGAAGTTAACAGGAGAGAATTTTTTAACTAATTACTTTGGCTTAAGATCGCAAAACCTTACATTGGAAGGGTGGATTACGGCTGTATCTTTAAATTTATAGCATTAATTTATTTAAAGTGATTCATTATAACATAGAGGATCTTGTCAGTGGGCTATTAGTTCAGTGCAGTTGGATTACGCATTAAACTTGTCTTCTCTCGGCTCGTTATTTAAAACAAAGGGCGTTTACCCCCTAACAATGCAAGTGTGTTGCTGAACCGCACCGCTCCCGATATGCGTTAATTATTTACAGGCTACAGATTACTTGAACGTGCAATCAATCAATGTAATACTTACTTAATCTGCGTGCCTTCTAAAAAAAAGTCGCCATTAAAATATTATTTTTTTAAGTCATACGTACATACGTACAAACATACAGACTGCTAGGGTTGCCAACCATCGAGCTGCTTTGTAGCAAAATACCCAAACAATGTTAAGGTAAGGTAAGATCATTTGGATTAAACTTATTAAAAAGGAACCATGCTCCACATAAAGTGAATCAATCAATAATATTGATTCTGAGTTATTAATATTAGTTATTCTTGGGATCTTTGGACCTCATACTAAGGTCTTTAGATTGCTAGGAAGAGGCTGCAGTATTTAACTTAAATAATGGCCATTTTAGATTGCGCCAGATTTTTTTTTAGAAGAACTATAAGATATCTAGAATCTAAATAGTCAGTAACAATAAGGCTATAATCAACGTTGGTGCCAATATAAAAAAAAAATCTGCCTCATGTGGTGCCCTTTCAGGAATTCCGAAAAATGAAAAAGCCAAAACCATTGTGCAGTTATATCAAGGCAAAAATCAAGAAATGGGAGCAAGTGCTAAATTCCTTCCACTGGAACAACCTTAAACAGGCCAAATGCCTTTTGGACTGGCAATATTGTAGGAACAGTAACTTTTTACTCCTAAACAGTAAAGACCTCAGAACAGTTATTTCTAATCACTTCAGGTCACCACCTAGTTAATACTTCGGTAGAAATACAAGGTTCTTAGTGCAGCTGCACTGTTAAGCGAAAATAACTTATCCTACTATATTGAATATTACGCTTAACATTGCAACTGCACTTGAAAACTTGTTATTCTAAGGTACCGACTTATCTAAAAAAAAATGAGAAGGTGGACTATGATTCCTGAAAAGATGACAATAAATCTGTACTTTTTTTGATGGAGTGCAAGGCAAGGCATAAAAATCTTTAGGTTGGGGTGCCCTAGGACTTCGGCTAGGCCCCAACCTACTGTAAAATAATACTAAATATTAGTTATTTGTAAAACCCCTGCACATTGGGTTTTTAATAAATTGTATGCCATATTTTTATTTATTCGGGTAAAAATAGGTAAAAATAAACTGTGCTTTATTGCCTTTTCGATATATATGAAAAATATTTTTTCGATTTTCTGGCTGTTCCTTTCGGTTTTTCCTAATGTATTTTTTTCAAAACCACCCCTGTATTGGGGCGAACAAAACAAACAAAAAATTATTTAAATCAGTTAAGCCATTTCAGAATTTAATAGTTAATAAATTTTAATTTGAAGCGCAGCTACGAACGCTATCTATTCCAATTAATCCAAAGTTGCACGAATTTCGTTTTTTTTTTCGATTTTCTGGCTGTTCATTTCGGTTTTTTCTAATGTTTTTTTTCAAAACCACCCCTGTATTGAGGCGAACAAAAATGAATAAATGAATGAATTTGTGGTTATGTTTTTTCATTTCATTTGAAGCGCAGCTACGAACGCCATCTATTCAAATTAATCCGAAGTTGTACGAATTTCGATTTTTTCGATTGTTCCCTTTGGTTTTTTCTGGTGAATTTTTTAATTTAAATCACCACTGTATGGAGGCAAACAAAAAAATAATTTAAATCGGTTGAGCCATTTCCGAGTTTTTGCAGGACTAACGCACGGCGATTCATTTTTATATATTAGCACTTACTTCTTTTTGTGTTTTCTAAGTTGGCAACCCTAATTTTACCTATAAATATTTAACGTAAACAAACATGCTTGTTGATTAATAATAACCATGTACTCCTATTTTTTATTCGTTGTCTATCTATATAATTTCAAAAAGTTAATAGCCTGTTTACATTTATTTAAATTCATTATTATTATGGCATAATGATCAAGTAATTACTTAATGAATTATTATTATCAGTTGTCATTAGTAATCTTGTGTTTATGTAGGGGCGCTTCATTAATTATAACATAGTGAAAAGACAAATGAATTCAGACAAACTACCCTTGCACATTTTAATGAATATCGCATTACCCTTTGAATATACGAAAGCTACATTCGGCGTAGTAGTGTCTGTACTTTAATTAAATTATAATTTTATGTATTGCCACCGTAAAGTAATATTTTTTATTGAAAGCATAAACTTATATATTTTTTGAATAAAATGCCCCTTTAGCAATATAATTGTAATTTAACGGAAGTTATAAAAAATCAATCAGGCGAAGCCGTTCAAAATTGCTGAGCAAAACGAAAACGTTTTATTAATATTCATAAAGTTATAGTAGCTCTTATATTTTAAATCCTGAAATCTGAAATCTATTTTCTAATAAGAGGGGTGACTTGACTTTATTCAATCTTTTCATTGGTATTAAAAATCAGCGAAATTTTAACATTATTTCTTACTAAATTACATTTTTAATTTAAAAACAAATTAAATTAAATTGTAGATATTAGGTATGCATACATTTTCAAAGGGTATAGAATTAAAACCGGACATAAGTAGGAAAAACCGAAACAGCCTTTAAAACTTTAAAAGAATATTTTAAAACAGAATAGGTCAATTTTGCAACCAAATAAACCTGTACAGTGTATAATGCCCGATAACCCAATAAAATAATTAAATACTACAGGGTGGTCCACGTAAGGTGACCCATATACTTATCTCAGAAACTACTGGAGTCACAAAAAATTTGTAGGAAAGAAATACTCACGAAGTAATAAATTTTTTTTAAATATTATATTTTCATTTATACAGTGTGTTCGGTTTTCTGTGGGACGATACCAACACCCTGTATTTTTTTGCATTTTTAGATTCTACACACTATTTTAGGTATACTTTGTAAACCAGGCGGAGAACGCACATATATCGATGAGTTTCTGCCAAAGTATCGCAAGCAACATAACTTAAATTTAGGGAATTGAAAACATTTTTTGTCTTAAAGTCTGTTTTAAATTAAATATAGTCTAAAGGTTTTATAACAAGTAAATAGCTTATAATTATAGCTATTAACTTGTTATAAAACATATAGGTTATATATGGTTTAAAACAGACTTTAAAATAAAAAATGTTTTCAATTCCCGAAATTTGAGTTAGGTTGCTTACGATACTTTGGCAAAAACCCATCGATATGTGCTTAATATATTAACTCCGAGCAGTACATTGTGTGCTTTCGCTGCCGGGTTTTATATAAGTACTATTGTTTTTTAAGCATTTAATTAAATATTTTTTATAATTCTGTCACATCATTTTTGGGTTAGGTTCAAGTAACATTATGCCATTTAAGCTTTATTTCTGTACGGAGTACTTATATATTGAGTTTTTTCTTCTACTATATTGCGGCCTTCGAAAGGTTGGCGATGTAAATAGCAGATGTGCATCTGAACCACCTCTTTGAGCCATGAATTCTGGTGTCTGCAGAGTCTGCAGTGCAGACGGACATTCATCCCTTCGATGATAAGTCTGAGAATTTCTTATCTCTCTCCAATCATGTGCCTGATATAACATGTCTTAATTGCAGTTGAGTTGAGTTTTTTACATGACACATAATATATGGGCTTAAAAGTACCAAGACTTTACGTGAAAATACATTTCTTCAAAATTTGATTCTATTCTCCAACATAGTTTTCTCATTTTACTTCAAAATACCTACTCTGCAATTTTGAATATAAAATTTATTGACGATAAATGTTTTCCTTGGGACCACCTTTTTAAGGCATCAATTTATAAGAAAACGGGAAATAGAGAAGCAATGTATAGCCCAATTCGTTCAATTTTGTCATGAAGTAATGTGTGGGACGGTGTGTTGTCGCTGCGGGTTTTTCCTAATTTTATGCTTTAATAGGCTGCTATATATAGGACTGCTTTGTTATTGCTCTTGCATTTTTAAAATACTTCAGATTATATAACGTGCATTTAAAATACTGGCGTAGTCACAGTCCTAGCTAAGGTCATAAGCGTCCAGGCAAAATTTGAATGTTGCTCCCTCCAAAACTTATTTTGTAGAAAGAAAAATAATACAACGACTTTAAAGTGTAATTTGAGTTATATATTTAATATAAGCTTTAGATATAAAATTAGCAATATTTTTTTCATCGTAAGTTGGCAGTGAATATTATGTACAAAAATCTGTTAAATACTTTGGATTAAAATATATTTTGATTGCCCTTAAACACCTCCAAATATTATCCTTATCAACTACACATTGTTCTTTTTTATTTGCAAATGTTATTTACGTTTACGTTTTTGACATAATTGGTGCCTCAGCTATTCACCAAATTTTTGTGCTTACTTAGCACCACTGGTATGTGTTTAATGTTTTCTGGAATGGTTACCACATTTGGACGGTCTGAACGATCGCCGTCCTCCAAATAGTTTTCGACTGTGTAGACTGCTTATAAAACTTTTTAACCCAATTTTGGGCTTAGAAGTTGTTTTTTTCATAAAAAAAGAATGTCTGATAATATTGTAACTAATTATTATTTTTTTTTTAGATCAATGTGGAAAATGCAAGGCCGCCACAAAAAGATTAAACCTAAACAAATATTGCAAAAGGGATTACGGTAAGTAACATTTTCGCAGGTTTTATAATTTTAAGAATATCATAGTTCCTGTAGGTATAGTATAACATATTATGGTGGTGTTGTTTTTTGTTCTGAGTCAGGACCATATAAAGGGATCCTTATTAGGGTGTCCCACTTTAACTTATGTATTTTAAACGCTGGAGTTATGTGTTTTTACTATAAAGTCGTTCGTTATACCTAGTGCACGAAATTAAACTTTGATGATTGAGAATTACGTTTTTTTATCGAGGCGAAAGCCGTCGAATGCATATTAATAAAAAAATATCAACTTCTTTTAACCCTTGTAGAAAATATTTAGGGGTCACTAAATCATTTTTTATCAGGCAATAGCTCTGTTCACAGTTAAAGCCTGCTATTTTTAGAACAAGGAATTTTGAAAATTTAAGAACCATTTTAAACTTTTATAAATAATAATATTTGACTCCATGAGTTTAAAGGGTGTTTTAAGACCAACATATATAAAAGTTTCAGTTTTTTGTTTTTTAAAGCTACACCAAAGTGGTAAAAAATGCCTGAAACATGGCCAAACTTGCAGTAAATATTGTCTTTTTGATAACTGTTGTTATTTTGGATGAGGTTGCAATGAGTTATTTATTAAAAGTAAAGAAAAGTTTATTTATAATAAAATGTATAAAAGCGACTTGACTCTATGCCCGGTACAGGCCAACTGTTTTACAAAAAGGTCCTTATTAAGTAAGAATACTGTCTTACTCTAAAGTGGCACTTGTGTGCATAAAACCATCTGTGAAAGGTTTTATGACACTTGTTTCACTACTATCTTATCTAACTGAGGGTTGAGTTTTCTATAAGTATTATTGACATGTAAAGAACTGCAATTAATCTTAACACTCTCTCTAAAACTTGACCCTCAATAAACCATGTTAAATTATGACACATACAAGCAAACACAAAAATCTTAAAAATACTTAAATAATGAAACAAACAAAGCAATAGCAATTAGCATAATCCTAACTTATTTCTAAGAATTTCAAACCTTTGTTTGGCCAACGGTTTTGTAAAAATATCAGCTACCTGATATTCAGATGATACGTAACTAACGCTAATCTCATTCTTTAAGTACATATCTCTAATAAAATTATATCTAACATCAATGTGCTTAGTGCGTTGATGAAACTCAGGATTTTTTATAAGCTTAATAGCACTCATATTATCTATTAGTAAAACACTAGTTTCAAACACTTCTCTCTTTATTTCCGAGAGTAAACGATTTAGCCACACTAATTCTTTAACCGCACTAGCCGCACTTATAAATTCAGCCTCCGTTGTCGATTGGGCAACACATTGTTGTCTTTTACATTTGCCATGTGTTCCGACGCACCTGAATCTATGATCCATTTATCCGCACTATTTGGTGCACTTTGTCCCATAAATGCTTGTGAATTTCGCGAACTCGATCCGACGTTCCGTTTTTCTGGGCACGTTTTTGATAAATGTTCTATAGAACCGCACACAAAACATCCTGGACACTCACTTTTCTTATGATTCTGTTTTCCACACAGAAAACACCCAAACTTCTTCGGTTTTTGGTGTTTGAACTGCTTACTAGAACCACTACCTTTTTGATGTGTTTTTCTCGAGAAAAACGCAGCTGAAGTTTCAGTGTCCTTTTCTTCATTGCCATTTATTCTCAATTCTTCAGTCAATAAACGAGATGTCAGATTTTCTAGGGTTCTTTTGTTAATTTCTGTTGTATCCCATGCACTATGGAAATGATTGTACTTTGGTGGCAATGTCGACAATATTCTTGTAATTAACATTGAAACCGGAATCATTCCATCAAGAGCTTTCATTCGATGCGCTAATCGTTCTAGCTTGGAAATATGTTGCGCAATGCTACCTTCAGGTTCCCACTGGAATTCGAAGAACTGCTTCTGCACCAAAGAGAGGCTTTCTTCCGATTTCATTTCGTACACATTGTGCAACTTCTTCCACATATCCTCAGCAGTTTCGCAATTTAGCAACAACTGTAACGGTTTTGACTCTACAGACGTCACTATCATAGATTTTGCGGCTCTGTTTGCTTTGTTCCATGACTTTAACTTTGTTTCATAATCTTCTGCCTGATTATCGGTTGGCTTCACTATAACTCCATCACAGACCTCCAAAGCTCCCATACTATCAATTAACATTTTCATTACAAATTGCCATTGTTGCCAATTTTCGGAACCTCTAAGTTTTTCAACCTTAGACGATCTATCCATGTCAAAATCCATTTTTAAATTTCAACAGCACTGTTAACTAACTTTCACTAAAGTCCAATTAACGCGACAAATTGCAACACGCACTTACTTATTCTTAATAGCAAACCCGCAGCAACCCCTTAGCACACTGGGCCCATAACCTGTTGTTATTTTGGATGAGGTTGCAATGAGTTATTTATTAAAAGTAAAGAAAAGTTTATTTATAATAAAATGTATAAAAGCGACTTGACTCTATGCCCGGTACAGGCCAACTGTTTTACAAAAAGGTCCTTATTAAGTAAGAATACTGTCTTACTCTAAAGTGGCACTTGTGTGCATAAAACCATCTGTGAAAGGTTATATGACACTTGTTTCACTACTATCTTATCTAACTGAGGGTTGAGTTTTCTATAAGTATTATTGACATGTAAAGAACTGCAATTAATCTTAACAATAACCAACAATACCACGTATCTATACAAAATTTTAGATTTTTGATGTAGGTTACTTTTAACAGTTTAAAATTAAAGTGACCCAAACTACAAAGGCATTATTTTAATACACAATTTTCGGCCAACGGTATACCACTTTGCCGGAGGTTTAATAAAAAAAAAATTCTGACAAATATTTTTTGTATTACAAGTACCTACTCAAAAATATATATAGGTATAGGCAACATGGTACTAATTCACCATCAGTTAAAAAGAATCATTGTCCGTTGATTTGAACAGCTGCTTGGAAATTTTAGGTTTCTTGGTGATTGATGGTCAACATAGTGTTCAGGAGCTGCTGAAGATTTTCAGCCCCCAATTTTTTTAAGGTACCGTTTTCCGGTAACATGGCTGACGATCTTTAAAAGCAATACATTCAGAATTTTCCAAGTTTAAAAATTTTTCAATTTTTTGTGGAGCGTAGTTTCTATACTCCGTAATAGTAAAGATTTATTTGTTGTCTTGTAATTTCACAATTATAAAGCGTCCAACGTCTTCAATGTTATCAATTGTTTAGGAAACAATTTCCCCGCGATCTCAAATAGGGATTCCAGGAGGTGGGTGAGGCGACACGAAAAACTAACTTTTTTCGCAAACTTTAATTTAAATTCTGTTTGCGCAGAACTTGTCTATTTAATGTCATTATAACTATTATAAATTTGGTCTGGGTAATAACTGAGATATTGGTATACCCAAAATCCACCAGCCGCCACTGTTTTAAACCATTTTTATTTACAAAAAAACGTCAAGAAACAACAGGGACTCTAAAGCAATACATAACATAATTATTTTTAAGTCAAAAAAAGAGGTTTATATAGTTAACACCATAAAATACCGACTTGGATGCAAATAAATAAATAAAAATATACAAGAATAACTTGGTAATCTTTCGATGCACTTAAAATAGGTCCGAAGCCGAGACTAAATTGCACAATTTATATGTAAAACCAACATATTAATATGTTAATGTCCCAAATGAAATTAGTATTCTATAAGGTGCTTTTATTAGTATCCCATGTCTCATATAATAAATATGGTGACAAAATATACAGGGTGTCCTGAAAATTGCGCACTAAAGAAATACCACGCGAAAGGAAGATATCTCACAGCTTAATACGGATACAATGTAAACAAAATAAAAAAGCCATCTGCAGCAAGCTAAAGTTAACATAGTTGATAGATGTATTTTTTGTAAGTAGGTATGTGTCAAAAAATTACAACTTTAAATCATCATAACTTTGTTATTATTAAAAAAAAAATAACTTTTTTATTTAAAATTGTTTAATGTTCTTCTATAGGCAAATAAGTAGTCTCAAAATATTAAAATATCTTCTGACCAGAAAATAATTTTATTTTTTATACTTGATTTTCGGAATATTAGTACGACAATATCACTTGTACCCGTTAGACGCATATCTCTATCGCTCCACAAACGAGACAGAACAAACAGTGCATTTTAAATCCATAATACCTAAAACGTAATAAGTATAAGGTTTCGTTCAACAGTGTTTATAGTTCCGCGAATCCGAATGTGTATGAAACCTCACTAAAGTGTAAGTGCAAGAGATCAATCACGAGGAAACAACGGGTATCAGCGAAATTCGGATACAAATAGCTATTCGAGATACAAATAGCGAAATTCACTACGCCTACCAAGCCTTTGAGTTTATACCTATCACGTAGAATAATTCGTAGGAACAACAAAAATACATAAATAAAAACATTAAAAGAGGGGATAACTTTTAAAAAGGAAGGCAAAAAAGGCTAGTTGAAAAGTCCTACAAAATGCAGAATGAAATACAATATTTCGTGGCTAATTGTTTCGAAAGCCTAGTAGAACCAGCGCCACAGTGTTACCAGAGTCGACATCTCTCATAATATCATCAACAGTATAAAGAAGAGCAGTGATTATGGAAAAATATAAAAATTTTCAATGTGCCTTTTAATGACTATTCTAATAATTTTGAAAATACTGGTAATACAGAGATTGGACACAATTCATCAATACCAGATATATTACTTTTTTTAGGAAGGGGTACAACTCTCGATTTTTTCCATTTTTTTAGGAAATATGGATTGCAATAAACAGGAATTTAGAATATGCATTAAAAAGGGTAAAATAAAAGGACAGCACAATTTAAGCATATCAATATTGATTTCATCAGAACAAATTGACTTGGATTGTATTTGATTTAAAAAAATTTAAATTTCTTCTTCACTTGCCAAAGAAAACTCAAATAAATCATTAAAAGAACATTGAGTGTTATTCTGATAAAAGCTAATAGCTATTAGACCCTAGGGTCTTTATCTGGTTTTGTTCATTTGGAAAACTGAAGAAAGTATTTTTTTATTTCTTCTGGTTTATTTAAGGCTTCTTTAGTCTATTATAAAGATTAAGTTCACTTAACTTTTTCCATACAATTTTACCATTACTAGAGTTTAGATTTATAATGTGTACTAAATATGCTTTCTTTTTATTTTTAATGGCAGAAATAACTTAATTTTTTAATAATTTATAATAATTCAATTTTTCAGGATTTAAAGTTTTTTAAATTTATTTAAAGCTTTGTCCCGCAATGATATGTCTTTGTCTAAAATTAAATATTGTTTAAAAATGTTTAAGGCTTTTTTGGATTTCATGTAAAAAATTTAATATCCTTTTTTTTCTCTTTTTCAGCAATAATGGCAAGGGTGATGTCAAGAATCGATGGCGAGGAAGACGAGCATACGAAGGGGTGGGTCCGGTTCATGATCAACGTAGACGTCATTTACAAAAAAGCAAGCATTTCCAGATTACGAAAAGGACCCATGCACATGATGGTTCCAGTATCTGATTTAGCTTGTAAATGTCCAAAGATTAAGGCTGGCAAGTAAGTAGATCAAAGTAGATAGTAAAGAATTTAAAAAGTATTTTAAAAGTCCGTATGTGGGAAAAATATTACAATACCTTGCAATTATAAGATCCAAGTTATTAAACTAAAATCAGCACATGCAAATAACTTCATAATTTAGTTTATATTTTTAAATGCTCATGTATAAAGAATAAATTATCAAGTTTTTCTGTTCCAACGCTATTAAGGTAGTGATTACAATAATGGTGAAACAATCCATTAGTGTCCAGATTAAACACGTCTGAAAATTAAAACGCTGAAAGGTAGATGAATTAATTATCATTTTTAAAAGGGTTAAAAACAAATCATTTATTAATGTCGCACAACACTGTTTAGCTTAATTAAAATATATCTTTTTATTTAAAAGTTATATAACTTTTGTTCCAAAAATGGCACAATAACGCTATCACACGGCTCATATCAAGTTAAAAAAAAAAATTCTGAGAAGTTGTTTAGAAGTACCTAGTTATTTTTATTATTTTAGTGCCTGAAGACAAATTAACTATACACAAAAATATAAAACAATTACCTTTTAAACAAAAAGTTAAAAATTATTAATAACAAAGCAAGAGGTAAACCACAAGGGTAGCAACGCGCCGCTAAGATAAATCAGAACACAACGTCCATATAACGCCGATTTTGGATTGGTCTCTTAGCAAAGTTATAATAATTTAAAGTTTTGATTTTCTTTCGTACAAAACCGGTCATCCAACCAAACTTCTTAAAGATATAAAAAAGCCTTTAAATATATTTATTTACCTAACAAAAGACATGGGTCGCCATAACTTTGATAACTTAGAAGAAATATTAACATGTGATGTCACATTTAGGTACAATATTTCTGCTTATTTATAGTCGGTTACTACCAGTAGAAAACGTCATTTTATAATATTAGACTATACACGAAAAATCACTAAAATCAATTAGTACATTTTCAAAAACTAAAAAGAATGTAATCTTTGACACTCTACCGGCTAAACGAAGCTAACTCGGATATATCACAAATCATAGACCTATAAAAAAAAATGTGCCTCAAAATCATAGCGTTCGTTGGCTGCAAGATGTTTGTACTTTTCGACAGGGGCGTAGCAGTTTTAAGAGAAATCTAAGAAAATATGTTAACTTAAACTTAAGTACCACAGTACCACTTGGCGCATCGTAGAGTAATGACGCGCACGCGATCGCTTCTTAAAGAGTAAAGCGCATACAGCGTATTTAAGTTTATTAGAAAATTTAAGTGTAAATCAGAGCATAGGCCCAATACATGTGCATATAAATCATGGTACCTGTCTCCCGAAGTCTTACAGAATCAGCAAAGCGCTAATACAGTAGTGCAGTGCAGCGTTAAATGGCTTTAATCTGCATGAATTAAATTGCATTCCCTTCTAAGGAGGTAATCTTGCATTTCTGCCAATCCTCCCAAAGAGGTTAAGCGTCTTCAACAAACAAAACAGCCACGGCTTGTAATAATTCGTAAAAATCGGTACAAAATCAATCTAGTAGCCCAAACTAAACAATCATTCGCCGGAAACGCATAACATAAATGAGTAACCAATAATAAACACGCCAACATCACTACGAAGATCTTTCCTTAAGTAATGCTGGGGTTTACGCACAGTGGCACAAATAATGTATATCTACTTCCTTTACTGTCAACACACTTCGTTAATAAACATTAAAAAAAAGCATCGAAAACTATCGGTTGTCACATTGCCGACTACCGAAAGCTATCCATCGATAGTTCTCGACCCTAATCTGCAGAAATGGTTTCGCACAGTGAGTCAAACAATTTGCACGCAGCATCCGAACTTGCGGCACAGTAATTTTCAGCAGACACGGACGAAAACGAACAGGTAGTACTACAAGTACTACAGGGAACTAACCAACCCAATCCCATTCATGAACCCCAAATGAATGGGGTATTACTAAATCCCTGGTTTAGGGGGATTCCGGATTGTACAGCTATCCATCGATAGTTCTTGACCCTAGTCTGAAGAAATGGTTTCGCACAGTGAGTCAAACAATTTGCACGCAGCATCCGAACTTGCGGCACAGTAATTTTCAGCAGACACGGACAAAAACGAACAGGTAGTACTACAAGTACTACAGGGAACTAACCAACCCAATCCCATTCATAAACCCCAAATGAATGGGGTATTACTAAATCCCTGGTTTAGGGGGATTCCGGATTGTACTTAGTTTTGGGTCAGTTTAATGTCCCCTCAAAAACCAAAATGTTTTTCGTCCTTGTCCCGCACTCCACTGGCCTAAATCGGGCGTATGACACGTCCCGGCGACAAAATTCCGAGAGGGGCCTTACCCATCGAAACTCTGATCATCCACGACCTCACTTAATACCCATTTATATATTTATTATTTATATTTTATATTAAAATGATCATTTCGTAGAATTTCCTTCACTTTTTTATGTTTTCATCTTTTCAAGCCTTTTTGGGCGTAAGTCTTCTTGGCCATCACGAAATAGGCCAAAACCCTTGAAAACAATTAAGCTGGGCAAGCACTCACTACTGCATACAGTATATTTTTATATTGAGGTATGAACCATAATTTATGATAAACAACACAATTGCACTATTGTATATTTGACAGCAGGTACTCATGAACCAGTTGATCTAGCGCTACAAAATGTTTGTTTAATGATGGAACCAACAGGAATATAGCCGCTGTTGGTGCTAAAGAAATAAAATCTGTTCTAGTGGATTTAGGACAGGCGGTGTATCACTATTGTTAAACAATACGTTTATTGTAATTGTTTGTTTCAGGTCCTATCTATTTCTTGGCAGGGAAAAAGATGATTCGCCTGGAGGAATGGCATCAAGCAGCTTGGGAGTGACTCAAAGATCCATCGTTATCGAATGGAAGGACGAATGGGATCAAAGAATGCGTAGATTCCGTCGCAGGGCCCGCAAATGCAAATGAATCGAATAAAATGATAATTAATAAAATTAAACATCAATATAATATTTGCTTTTAAATTTATTTATAAATAGTAAACTGTACAATATATTGAGATACAAGTAATTCAGATTAAGTAACAGTATTAAACAGGTTGTGTCTTAATTATGATATTTGGTTTACGTGTGTCTTTTTATACCATCAAAATAGTACTAGTCGATAATTATTGCCAATTTAATAATTTACAATACCTTTATTGAACAGTTTACTTTATCCTACAGTTTTACTGTGATTTATTTACATAAATTATTTCTGTACCTATTCAAAATCTTATTTAGCTTTGAGGCTCCTGTGACTTACCAATCTTTAATTATTGAATGCACTGTACCAAACGCATTTATGTATGTTAATTTAGTTAATAATTGTAATATTTTATATTTTGTAAATATGTTTTACTAAGATTACGCCGATGCATTAGTGATTATAATTTATTTATTTTTTGAATGATGAGTGTGAGTTTTTAATTATAGTCATTTTAATATTAGAATCAATATATAGTCATAAAATTAAATTATTATTATAAATGCTTAATTTTGCAGATTTAGTTCAATATCTTATTATTAACAACTCTTTTAAATGTAAACCACCAAATTATTTGTTAATGATTTGCAACTTTTATTACTATAAAATTGCACTTTAATTGCAAAATTTTACCAATAAACTAATGTTGACTTTAATTTCAAGTTCAAGTTAAATATATTATTAATCGACTGACTAATCTAACTTGAATACAAATATACAAGAAAGCCAAAGCTTTGAAATTTTTTAAAATTTTGAGGTGTAGGTTTTACATATTCGGTAATAATTAATGCTAAGTGATCCATTAAAATTGCTTAACAGTAACACTTTCAATTTGACTTTAAAATATATGCCTGAATTAATAATAAATATTTTATTTTAAAATCCTAGATAAAGTAATAGTTGAATACAAATATGTTGAGTATCTTTTTATAATATCAAATAAGCAATTTTAAAGGAATATTTTAACAATTAAAATGTGCATTTATAATACTTATAAAATTAGTAAAAATATTTATGCTGCAGTTAAAAATCTTGATCTTACTTTTCTTTTTTGAGTTAAAATCCATTTTAAATAAAACAAAAAAATATGTTTTAATTTAGGATATAGGTACCTACATATATGTTTTTACTAATTTTAAAAGAATTTGGTATGAATGAGTGAAAGAAAGAAAAAGAGTAAGATTGTACAGTATTATAAATTGTTTGCTAATAAATATATTCCATATTATTAATACTTATGCATAATCCAAGCAGCTACATGTATGTAACATTTATAACTAGTTCCTAGAGGCCATATTAAAAATTTAAATGTTTTTAAAATGTTACAAATAAACTTAGATTTTAGTGTTTGATGTTGTTAACATATCAACTGTATCGTGTTTAGCAAAATTCGACTATGAAACGAATAACTTTAAAAGTTTCTTCGAATTTAAAATTATACAATAACTATCGTATGCAACATATTTCATGCATGACTTTTTCAAAATTCATTTTAGTAATAAACATAATTATATTTGTAATAATGACTTATGTCAACTTCCAGTGAGAATTAATCACATTACTTGCAACATCATAATTTATTATTTTAATTTGTAAATTCTTTGTGTACCTAAATTTATTGTAATAAATGTATTATGTATAAACGTATTTTAATTTTTTATTGTTTTTGCTTATGTCACACTTTTTAAGGATTTTAAGCCGTTCCCTTCCCACATGTTACAGGTTGTCACAACCCACCTCCCTTGCCCTAAAATTACCTGACACTAAAATTTTTAAATTGTCTGTTTTTTTTAGATTCAATTGGAAATCCACATCTAAATATTAAATAGGAGGATACTTATTTCTAACCTCATTTTCCGAATTGCTTTTAAAATTATGGTGCAGGGACGGATGGGACGGCCGGGATGCGTATTGGCATTGTGTACTACGATACAGAGCCATAGTGTTCTGAATCGCAGTAAGGATTGATAAAATTAAACGCCACTAAGTACAATACAATCCATACTACGATTCAGCACATCTCCCAGTTTGTGATGTTCTGAATCATAGTAGAGAATGGTGTAGGGTATGCGCGCATACGCGACCGCAGCAGGCCATACTTTACTACGATTCAGAAAATAGTATTCTAATTTAAATTGTAGTTGGATAGCTTACCTACAAATACGCTAGCTGCACGCCTTATCAATAAAAAACAAATTATTATTTTTAATTGGAATTTATTTATTAATAAATATTATTAAAAACAAACTAGGTATTCTCTGCAGTTTTAATAATAAATATACATTAACCCAAAGGAAAAAAATCATTTCAAACTTATTAACAAAAAGATCGTTTTACCCAAAAATTTTGCAAGTATCAGATATAAACGTACCACAACGGATTTAAATAATATTTGAAATAGTTAATAGGCTTTTTTTTCTACTTTTACATAAAACTATTAATTTTGCAAAAACATAAACATAAACATAAAATATACATATATTGAGGTGTATGAAATAAATTCTTAAGAAAAGAAAGGTTTTAACTTGGATTTAAAAGTATATTTTGTGATACTTAGAAATGTTAAAGTGCCCAGTTAGTGTAGACTTAAATATAGACGCAAAAAGTGATGTGAAATAACAATATTATTAGATATTTGATTTAAGTTAAAGTGTACAGCAATCGGAATTTTACTGCAAAAAACATTTAAAAAACCTTGTAAAAACAATTGACTGTTCGTTAATTTAATAGAAAAATAAAAAGTTGACCCGAGTCTGGGATCGAACCGGCGACCGTCGAGGTGTGCGTTGGACCTGTGCTTGCTGTTGGTGCTCTGGACGACTGAGCTACCGAAGGTGTTGATAAAATTTAAAATATGAGTAAACAAATCACTAATGAAGACCTGTTCAATTTGATCAAAAGTGAAAATCAGGTTCTAAAAACTGAAATAGCTAATGTAAAAAATGAAATAAAAAGTGAATTGGATATTTTAAAAATAAAAAATGAATATCTTGAGAAGGAAAATCAAGAATTGAAAAGACAAATTTTATTTCTGGAAAGAAGGCAAAAGAAATATAATGTGATAGTATATGGAATAGAAGGAGACGAACAACTAACTGATAATAAAACCCTAGCTGTATTAAATGAAGTCCTAAATATTCCATGTAATAATAAGGATCTACGTGATATACGCAGGATAGGAAAAAAAGTTGCTGGTAAACCCCGACCTGTCCAAATTGAAGTGATCAATTACCTATAATTTGAAAAAAGAAATACTGAATAAATCAAAAGAAAAACAAGCAGAATTAAAAGAAAACAATATATTTTTTACCTCCGATTATGCATCCGAAGATTATAAGGAAAGAAAGTTACTAAGCCAATTTTTAAAAGCTGCCAAGGAAAAAAAATATAAAGCAAAAATTGAAAATAACAAACTTGTAGTCGACGGAAAAGAATACACTTGCAATCAACTTAAATCAAACACTTCCAAGATACTAAATAATAAAGCAAACATTGAAACAGAAGAAGTCTACGAATCATTACAAAAAAACCTTCATGAGAACATTGAACAAATATTAAGAAATACATACGAAGAGGACGAGGAAAATAAAAAAAGAAAATTCAAATTAACTCCCACCAAACCTATAGGAGCAGCACCAAAAAGGAACACCAGAGCTGAGGCTAAGAAAGTCCAAGGAGATCTGGGAGAAAAAACAACAATATAACCGCTTATTTTAAATTTACTGCTTATATAATTATTTTTTTCTTTTATTTTCTTTATTTATTTTATACCCTAAGAATTTTGTTATTTTTTTTATTTTTTTTCTTCTTTGTTAAGTACACTTACGGAATGAGGAATTTATCTTTTGCATTTTATAATGTACGATCATTAACAAACAATTTTGCAGATTTTAAGGTTTTTGTCTCACAAAAAAAATTTGATTTTATTGGTGTTTGTGAAACGTGGTTGTCTGAAAATGTAAACACTAATTTAATTGATATAGATGGATATAGGTTCTTTCGTCGAGATAGAGTAAGTAGAGGTGGTGGAGTGGGATTGTATTTGAACAACAATTTAAGCTGTGAACTATTATATACGGACCCTAATAACTGTGTTGAACAACTTTGGGTTAAAATTAGGTTTAATTATAAGTCATATATAATTGGGGTACTATACAGGCCACCAAATAAAAAAAATACCTGATTTTATTGAATCGTTAGACAATGCTATATCTGACTTCTTGCCCGAATGTGATGAAATTATTTGTGGGGGTGATGTTAATATAGATTTGTTACAGTCTGAACATCAATCAACCTTGACATTTTTAAACTGTATTGATTCTTTTAATCTTAAACAAATTGTTGACTCTCCTACTAGAATAACTAAAAATTCAGCAAGTCTCATAGACATTATTTTAGTATATAATCACAACGAATCATACATTACTGGTACAGAAGAAATATATAATGTTTCAGATCACATGTTAGTTTATTGTAATATAAATTATGTTCAACCAAAAGTTAGTCCTAAATATATTCAGTGCAGAAGCTTGAAATACCTCGACCATAATTTGCTTTCAAATTTTCTGGAAACTGCTCCCTTCTATAATATCTTACTTATTGATAATATATGTGATAAGATACAATTTTTTAATGCAATAATTATGAATATTTTTGATATATTAGCGCCTGTCAAAAAAGTAATAATTAAAAAGCAAAATCCTCCTTGGCTAACTGACAATATTAAATTAATGATGTCCTTGCGTGATAAAGCCCTTGCAAAATTTAAACGTACCAAACATGAAGAACATTGGAATTATTATAAACAGATTAAAAACCAACTAACATCGGCAATAAAAAACGAAAAAAAAGCATATTTGGAGTATTGTGCAAATAATTATCGTAACAACAGCCGGGTCCTTTGGAATAAGTTAGGCGATTTAAATATTCACAATAAACCTAAATCTAAAACCCTACCAGATAATTTAAATAAACCTGAGGAAATAAATAATCATTTATCGCAATACTCCAAATATACACCTCCAAATTTAGATCTTTTAAGTTATTAC